GTGTGTGTGTGTGTGTGTGTGTGTGTGTGTGTGTGTGTGTGTGTGTGTGTGTGTGTGTGTGTGTGGACTGTCAGTTTCGGTCTGGTAGTCAGCATAATTAGAAGTCTCTCTTTTATCCCCGTCTCCCTCTCACTGTTTCTCTCTTTCTCTCTCTGCCTCATCCTCCTCTCTTTTTTTTACTCTCCTCGCTCTCTTTCAATATTTCTCCCTCTCCCCCCCCCCCCCCCCACACTCCCTCGCCTCTATCCCTCTGTGAGTGATGACTTTTAAATCATCCTTTCATTCAATGATGAACGAGGGGAAATCTGTCCTTTTCTCTCTGTTTATTCTGCTTTCCATCTCTGTCCTTCTGTCCCTGTTCCGCTCCTCATACACTCCACTCTGTATCCTGGCTGTTCAATTAAAGGAAGTAACTGCATTTAGACTAAGACACCCTCCAATCTGTTGAGTTCTGATAACATTGTGATGGACTGAGTCATATGTTCCTGTGTGAACTGGAGAGTATTACGGAGCTCATTTGTGATAGCTTTACAATCCCAACCATTTTACGTTACGTCAAGCCAGTTCAAGTTTCGATTAATATTATTGAAACAATTTTTTTGTGATATTTAGCAATTATTTTGTCGTCTTAAACGATTCCACGCACCTGTGTCTAGGATCACTCTCATGCAAAAACATACTTTAACCACTAGAGGGATCAGTTAAAAAAAGACAACATGAAATACTAAGACCACAAGAGACTACAGAGAAGAAAGTCAAAACCTTACTCCTTATATGTAGAATTACTCATTCAGTTTTAAAGATTTAAATGTAAAAGTATTGTCTAATATTATAAAAAAGTAAATATTGTCACATTGCCTAGACTAGAGGATGAAAACAACAATTCCCTTTGAGTTTCACTGTTCAGATATCCTGTCCCTCTTTGATTTACTGACTGTAAAAAACTACGGGAATGATTTTTAGTTATTGAGAAGATTATTTAAATTGTTGCCTTTCCCCCTATACCCCATGGTAACTACAATTACCACATCATATTACCCCTGGGTCATAATATATCTTGTCTAGCATCTGTTAAATAACTGCCTAACCAGTCTAATTGTTTGTGTATAGGTTAATCTCACCCCTAAGAGATCATAAACACCTCACTTTATGCTTCATCACACGAAATGAAGTCCCTATTGCACATTATATTATGCATTTATTTGCAGCCTCTTTAATAACATGTGACACAATAAGGTGTCTGTGTTAGTTCCTGTATTTTCCCTTGCAGAACAAGTTATTCCACTCCAATAATTACATTCTATTGTGAGCTTAATCTTGATTCTTGACCTCATAACGCCTCACTTTGAAGCATTGCTGCATGACAACAGACGTTGTCTCACATAAGCATCAGTTAATCTGAGTATTTGGCTGTATGGAATATTGACAGTTATTGAGCTAATCTCTTTCCTGCAGATGGAAGTATGCAATAATCCTTGCTCATAAAAAAAAAAAAAAAAAAAAAAAACTATTAAACCAATTACATTTAAGATTCTTATATTGCAAGTGTAGCACCAACATTTAGCCAACCATATTCAAATATATATATTGAGAAATCCAGTAGCTCATCTCAGAACCAGAGAAAAAATACATTGACTGATCAATACACCATCTGAAATGTGTCAAAAACCAGTAAAAGCAACTGTATAATTAGGTGCATGAACTCATCTCAGTGTATTTGACCTTCCTCATAACATAAACCTTAAAATTGTATTAAGTTGTCAACTGAATTAGATTTATTATCAAATAATTTGGAGCCATTAACTGGCTGTTACTTTAGATAATATCTCAAAGCATCTATATGTCATAGTGGAGAATGTAAATAATCTATTTTCTATCCATCATAGCCATAAAGGCATGTAGCAATATTTGAAATCATTGATTTTATTGAAGTGTAATCTTGGACATGCAGCGGTTGTTACATAGCAAATACATTGGACAGATGCTCTGATAAGTCTGCCTTTTCTTTGTAACCGTGCATCTGTGCTATCCTCAGGGGAACTCCTGCTTCATGGAGCATCAATCCCATTTCACTTTGATGATAAAATGTAATTCCAGTTGGGAACCACATGGATCTACCCTTTCAGAACTGGGCCGTTAAATAAGTTCCTTTTTTTTGCTGTGCTGTTCACAATCTTTCCTTTGTAGTGTCTTAGAAAACAAAGCACAGAAGAGAGGCAGTGGCATTTCAGCCTTTTGCGTTCTTTCTAGTCATTGAAACAAGCAAAAGATGATATGGAGTTGTATGTTGTGAGTGTATATGTCAGTGTTATAATATTCTGTAGGTCTGTGTATGAGCATATGTGTCAGCTGTCATATGGCTCTAGCTCTCCCTTTCCGTTTCTCATCATCTCTGCTGTGATTGGTTGTGAAGGGGCAGAGATACTGGCGCCTAATTGTGGCTCAGACTGCCATTGGCCATTATATTGGTCAATGTGATGGTCTTGGAATTGTCTTGGTAAATGAGGGTTGTAAAAACACACACTGAAACACACATATATTTGTAGACACACACTCTTTTTTGGTTAGGGTCTGTCTTGGATAATTGGTTGGAAAAGCATCCAGCGGGATCACCCTGCTGTCCCTGTGGCCCCGGCTGCCATGGCAAATAACAAGGCTCATAAACATGAAAGGCACGCGGATGATTGTCCTGATTTGAGCTTTGCACTCAGAGGAGATCAATTAAAGCCTAGAAAATTCAAGGACTTAAAGCATACAGTGAGAGCAATTTTCATTCAACACTTTCATTTACATTTCACAGTTATACACCAAAGGCCTACTGCTGCAGTTTCAAAAGCTTTTGTAGATATAGTCGTTGCCAGTGATTAAAAAAACGGACAAAAAAGAAGCAGGTACGCTAGATAACAGAATGTCAAATGCAAAAAAAGAAAAGGTACAAAGTCATTGCAACATCATCTCACCGCAAGAAGACATAGTGACCAATATAACAGCAATTTGCCTCTCTGCTGTAGTGTCCTTGAGCAGGATGAGGCCAAATCCCCACCAGCTTCAAGGGTTTCTGCTCTGTAAGCTGACTCTGCAGTCTGACTCTCCCGTGGAGCGGTAGAAGTGAAGAGTTTCTCCATCAGGGATCGATAGAGCATCGCAAAAAGAAACTCTCCGACTTCACGCCTGGACACTTCAAGCTTTTCATCTAACACCTGTGGTGTGTTTGATATAAAAGGATCATTAAGATCAAAGGGAGAAGATAATGATCCTGATGTGAACCGTGAAGTCCAAAGAGATCAATTACATTTACATTTTACAATTCAAGCATTTAGCAGGATCTGTAACCCGGAGAGATTTAAAGTAAGTACAGCAGCAGAATTTGCTTCACTTCTAATTTATCAGTACAAGCAGCTGGGAAAAGGGAAGGGAAGTGATACAAACTATTTCTACACACTCCATGTTTCTATAGTAACAATCCTGTCCAAAATATGGTTAAGTCAAATTAACATCACATTTACTGACTGTTTATATATCGAGACACTTATAATATATATATTCTTTCAACACAAAACATTAACTTTAGTATCAGCATACTGTAGTACGATACACTGAACGCACCAGTGAATCTTATTTATGTTATGTAACCCAACCCAACCAAAAACCTTGGAAATGTAATGATATTTTCTTATATGCTTGTTTACTCTCTTATATTGAAAATAACTTTATAATTGGTTGGATATCCATTACTGTGACGTGCTTGTATGTTTGGCTGCGTCCTATGCAGAGCATCTAAATAATGCCTCTGCAGTTGATGTTATTGTTAGTTTGGCATCTCTTCCTCTTCTCCATTTCCTCGTCTCTGCCACCATAGAGTCATGATGAAGAGCCTATAGAAGCTCATTAAGATCTAGTTGTATTTATTCTCTCCCTCCCTCAAGAAATCATGAACTGCCTTTGATGCTGCATAGTGTGTGCAAAGAGTTTGCATTGGTGTCATCTCCCTGTCGTTTTTTCATCCACAGTTAATGTAGAGATGCAGAGAAAAAAATGTCCTTCAGTTATACATGTCAACAAAAACAAAGAAGGAGACAGCTTTTGATCTGTTAGAGACACACTGTGTGAATCCAAGAGGATGCTCTGGTCTCTTATTGATTTTGCCTATCAAGTCAGGTGGAAGGGGTTGCTGAGCTTCCCCACTGTCAGGGGACCGAGGTTCAAGCACCCCATGCTAAATGTGAGTACCAACTCCTGGGGTGAGGCTCTGAAACACACCCGGCCCTGTGCCCTCGCTGCGGGGGAGGCCAGGGAAAAATATGTTACTAGGCGCAACACAAACTACTGTACAGATCCATGGAGCTGCAAGAGTTGCTGACAAATACTTGATTCAACTCTTCTGATGCTCGCTACAGTATATATTCCATTAATATGTAATCTCATAGATCAGCATCAAATAACCAGGATGTATCAGAACCAAGCTGACCTACTTTGGATGACTCATGCTGACGTATGGCTTATTCCTACATTGACGTAAAGCAATACTTCAATGCCCAACTTTTTTGCACTGTATTTATAAGTGTTAATATTGGATTAGGACATTATGTCAGCAATCTTGTATCCATTTAATCAAACAAGGTGTGTAAAAATGATACTTGTAGTACCGTAGTACGTGTGCCTGTGTGTGTTTTTGTTGAATAAAAGTGCCTGTGTGAGTGTGCGCATAGCCTGCAGTTGTTCGGTGTCTCTCAAAAGATAGCACACACTGGTAGACAAACTGATTTATGCTAACTACATGCACAGAGAAGGACACATGGATGCACAATCTTCACATACTCAACATTCTGTCATATGCTGTTTCACAGTGTTCCTTAGACTCTAAACTTTAAACTTAACATTGTGTTCTCCCTGTTTATCCTGTAGTACACAGCATCTGTTGTTTGCAACCATTTGTTTCTCATCTAAGAATAAATCAAATGTTCAAATAAAATGAAACGTTCTCTTTTGTTCCCCTTTAGGTTTTATCTACACATGTGGCGGTACACTAAAAGGCAGAAATGGCACTATAGAGTCGCCAGGCTTTCCCTATGGCTACCCCAATGGAGCGAACTGCACCTGGGTCATCGTCGGAGAGGAAGGAAGTAGAATCCAGCTCATGTTCCTGTCATTTGCCATAGAAGAAGAATATGACTTTTTGTCCTTGTATGATGGACACCCACATCCGACCAACTTCAGGACCAGGTAGGACCGGTTATTGTTTTAAGCGTAATTATTTTCCCTTGTAAACAACTGAGGGAAATTTGAAAAACTATCAAAGACAAGAAAGGATTTTTTTTTAAAGATTTTATTAAATTGTAGTAAGGTGTTACCTAGGATAAACTCAAGAACATAATGCATTTTACACACTTTATTTTGATTTATTTCACAACCAAATATTTGTGTTCAACATCCTCTAATCTCCATTTAAAGTAGCATGGCAAACACAGCAGACACACCTGTTATGGCATATATCCCGTTGTTTATTATTAGGTTACCACTGATGTGCAGCCAGTTTGCAATCCTTTCAAGCTGAAGCTATGGAAGGAACTGCTTTGTGTTATTGCCAATTAATGATGATCTGTAATGAGCCAATGGTTTTACATGATCAAATATATGGGACCATGTATTCACGTAAAAAAACAAAAAAACAACATGGATTTACGGATGTGGAAATACAAGCACATAAATACAAGAAGGATACATTATTAGTTTAAATATGAATGCATACATGGTTTATAATGACATAAATGCTCATTATGTCAACAAACGTCGAGCAGATGTTGTCATACTGGGCTATATTCTCTTGAGCAGTTCTGTTGTAGTAGAACAAATGGCCTTGCATAGCAACAGGGTGTTGTCCTGCTGTGGTACACAAATACCTCAGGCTCAATCAGTGACACTGCGGTTTCCTTTAGTTATTGAACCTTTTTATCGAACTCATCTTGCAAGAAACACATTACCCAGAAATAAGCTCATTTCAGATAAGCTATTAAACTCTCCTTGCCTTATGATTTGATCAGACAATCAATAGTGCCTAATGACATTTGTCTGTGACTCTATTCACGTCCGACATGTTCTTTTAACCCTGAAATTTAATTATTATTACGTTATTCAATTAACTGTGACATGTGAGAGTGCTGTTTATTGACATGTAGTTTGATTTTCATGGTTAAACACTGATATTAGGTTTTGACAGTTGCACAAGTTGTTCGACAAGAAAGTCATTGTCACATCTCACATACTCTTGATCTAAGAAGGACTTAGTAATGTGAAGAAGTTGTAGAAAATGAAACTTACAATATTGCTTATAGCATGATGTACCTGATTAACTTTAATTATGCTGAATCAAAACAACAACTCTTTTTTGTCAATCAATAACATTGGATAGGAATAACCCAACATTTTTAGCAAATTAATATGAATGGACACTTAAAGTTATTGCTTCTAACAATAAATAAATCACACATTCAGAGATTTCTTCTTTCCCAAGAGAACCAAACATTACAAGCGATATGTATTCTTTGGTATCTTGCGAACAAAGAACATATGTTGTCCTGTCACTACAGTACATGACAATATTATACTGATTAGCTGTTGTTTCTGATCCTTGAATGAGGCTTCTCTGTCTTTCTCATGTGTCTGACTAAAAAAGCAAAGGAAATGGAAAAGTAACTGTGAGTGAGCTCTTTATTTCATTTTGGATCCTGTGATGTGAGCATCCACCAGGAACTTATTCTTGGAAACAAGAATATCCAATCTGATACAAAGACACGCTTCTCACAAGAGGCTCTTCTTCTGGCTCCTCTTCTTCAAGGCAACAGCACACAATACACACAGCAGCGTTTGGTGAAGGATGAACAAACCCACAAAGGAAGTTATACTTATGGAACAGATCCATCCAGCAAAAAAGAAAAGACAAGTCAAATATATGCCAAGTATGCCACAAGAGATGTTAAGACCAGGATGATTTGCCACAAACAAGTTCATTTGCAGGTCGCATCCAATGCTGACTGAACTGCAATCTTTTTTGAATACTCTAAAGGCCTGAAAACGCATATTTCTTAATAGCTTTGTTAATATGGGATTAGGTTCTAACTTGTAATATATTTCTTTAGTTATTGGTTATCTCACATGGGCATTTTTTGTTGTTGTCCTCGCTCTGCTTGCTCATTTGAGATGGTTTAGTTTAAACCAAGTGATGTGGGACTCTGTCTAGAAGTCAGGCATGCGTGAGGGAAATATCACTTGCGTAGTTCTAAGCAAAGTCATTTGGTCTGGTTCAGTTCAGGAAAAAGGATGTGGGTCATGGCGAGATGAAATGAGTCCTCTTAATACTTGGTGGTTTGCTGAAAAGCAATTCTCTGACTGTGGGGAATGAACCATGCTCCTTTGGTTCTACAGCGTAATTTATAATCAGCCGTCTACAATAATAAACCTTTCTTTGACAATCCGGTGGTTTTCAGTGCTCAAATTGCCATACAGAGTTAATTAAAAAAGGGAGAGAAATAAAATAGATTAAAACAGAGCAAAATTAAATAAAGGATCAACATGATGTTTACTGCTCTATAAAGTATGTGACCCTGCAGAAAAAAAGAGAGAGAGAACCGACGGGTAGGAAGGGAGAGAAAGTAAAAGATGCCCTCTGTGCTCTTATTGGTTGATTAAGATGTCCTGCTTATCTCAGATAACAGGAAATGATTTGCTGCGTGAGTGTGTGCACACTTACATTCACATGCATAGGGTGAGTGTGTGATGAAGATTTATGGTCTTACAATCGCCCAGCTAGTAAAGCCAAATTACCTCTGCTGTCTCATTCTGTCTCTCTCTTTCTCTCCTTCACACACACACACGCATGTACGCACGCACGCACGCACACACACACACACACACACACACACACACACACACACACACACACACACACACACACACACACACACACATGTACATGGACACACATGGCAACTGACACACATGCACTGGGACACAGGGCAACATGGTGATTAAGAGGTCAGATCCATTAACAGGAAAATGGTAATTATGGGGAGAGTGATTCACATGGAACACACACACACACACACACACACACACACACACACTCACACACACTCACACACACACTCACTCACACACACACACACACACACACACACACTCACACTCACACTCACACACACACACACACACACACACAACACACACACACACACACACACACACACACACACACACACACACACTAGACACCGACCAGTCACATCTTTCTTTTGATGTTACAAATATAACTGGGTGTCAAATTACAGCGTCTACTGTCGCTTGAGTAACACTCACCTTGTCTGAACTATAATTTCCTCAACTTGAAATGCACAGACACAACATACAATCCAAAAAGGTATGAACAACATAAGACTCATTGGTTTTTTTCAAATTAGAAATGTTCAAGCTGCTTTTCCTCAAATCAGGGTTACTTATAATATTAATTCATATTTAAAAGTGATAGTTCTAATAGTAAGCTTTCATAAACAAGTAAAGGGCACCTCTGTAGATTGCTGCTAGTGCTGTGTTTCAGCTTTTGACAGGTCAAAAAGCAGGCACTTGGGCTTAACAGGTTTGTCTGGCTGATGAATCATGTTATTAACCGACGTTCACGTTAAACACAAAGCTTAGTGGAATAAATAAAAACCTTATCGACTGTGGTTGGAAGTTGGAATTATTGACGGTGACAAACTTGGGTTCGGTCCTGACTCACCTGTCCATTGTCTTTTTTGATGTCAGTGCAACAAACATGTATGATACATGTGAGCCTGTCGTGTTTGTACTCTGTGCCTTTTAAACTCAGGATGCACTCGCACCCTGTAACCCAACAAATAAATATTGCATACCTGCATGACCTTATCGTCATTCCAGTGTTACTCTTTGGGCAGTGACAGCTGAATCAACACAGACCTGATGACATTTCTTTTGAAAGCTTCTGAAGACATATTTTTCTGTGAAAATATATAAAAAAATATTTGTTTGAAATTCATTCAAATAAAATCAAGGTACCCCATACTGTATGGCATCCCCACCGCACAATTGGGAATACTTAGAAGAAATATGAGCTTATAAATATGTTATATCCATTAACAATGTTTACTCTAGCTTACCCAAAGAGAGTTTTTCTTAATAACATTGATAAACTGATTTAATAAGAGGGATTAAATGATTTAATGAAACATAGTTCCTCATTAAAAGTTATCCTACATGTTCAGATTGATTGTGTTGTCTTATGATGGCATAATCACTTTTGTATATGGCTGATTCAGCCTGACTTAACCTTAACAAACAAGAGCCATAGGTAAACACCTATGGTTTAATCTGTGCACATATATAGTTCATTGTATTGCACTGTACAGTACCTAAGACATCATTACCGTATTTCAACACAGCCTCGTCACTGTTATGTCCATATTGGATCATTTTACCATGACAATAGATCTTTCCCTAACTTTAACAGAGTAGTTTAAGTCATCTAAACTTTAAAAATCTTAACCATACTGCACTTTCTATGCATAAATAATACATAACTTATAAATATAAAATATAGATATATATTTATTTAATCAAATAACATTGTAATTGAAGATAATAAAGTTTTTTTTAAGATCTTTATATTACCATTTTTCTCTTTGGTGGCTTGTATACTGAGCAGACCCTTAACACATTAAAGTGATATTCATATTGTTATGGTGTTTCCTAGGCATTAATCACCTTCTTAACTACATCTAGTTTTTTATCTACAGCTTGATGTCATGTTTTTCTCACGATGCATTTGCGACATTTGGTATTCATAACATTTTGAGGTTAATTATAATTTTCTGTTTTCAGACCATGCATTTTCAACCCCTTGAAATATCTTCCAGTGTACTCCAGTTAAAGGATAAGCACTCTTTGCTTCTTTGGCTGCTCGTGCAGCAGGTTAACCCTATGCACAATCCAAAACTGTGACACAAGTTTGCATGCTAAATTAAAAGTCAAAGACAGTCACAAAAAGAGATGATGAAGAAAACAAGGAAATGGTTGAAAGGCAGAGTTAAGAGGCAAGGACATATTGCATTGTATGTGATCATTTTTTAATTATAGTGAAGCCTCCTGAGGTGTGCTTGATTTATCCGGAGGGACTCTCAAACAGACATGGTGACATTTTGAAATTAAGTCAGTTA